ACCTTTACAACAGGCAACACACATGTCATAAGAACATGCACAAAGGTAAGCGATTTTCTCATTCAAACCAGAGAACAATAAGGCTCTCTTATGTGGGCATTTAGCTTCTAATAATTTGAGGTTATTAATAATATATTGTAAATTACTAACTGTTGAATTATTTTTTAATAAAATGTAATAATATTTTTAAATAACAATTGTTAAGAAACAAATTCATTCATTCATTAGGGTTCATACACACAGGGCTTAAAAAACGCTGCTTTTAAAAGTGTTTGACTTTTTTTTTCCACTTGTAAATGCATCTTTATGTTAGCCTATGTGTCCATTGCGCACAAAGACGTTTACAGGCGTATTAGATAAGGAGCATTTAGAGGCAGAGAAAAAAAAACATCACCTGTGTGTTCAGGAGAGAGAAACTTTCGGGTTGAAAATTGTATTGCTATAAGGTCACATTAATTGTCCAGGAATGACGGTCCCATCAACTGTATATGTAGTCCCTCTGTGCAATATATGTGTTGTTGTACTTGATTTCCTCCAAAAAAATCAGACTATCCACCACTGGAAGTCAGAAGAATTGCCTACTCACTCTAAATACATATGCTGCCCTGATATAAAATGCAGCATCAGCGGTTTAATCATCACAAACGCTGATCGATGTACTGTATATCATTGCAGCATATGTATTTATGGTGAGTAGGCAATTCTTCTGATTTCCAGTGGTGGATAGTCTGATTTTTTTGGAGGAAATCAAGTACAACACATACAGTATATTGCACAGAGGGACTACAAATGAATTTTGATTTTATTGAAGGAAATCGAGTACAACACATATATTGCCAATGGGACTACATTTGCCAAGTTGATGGGACTGTCATTCTTGGACTATTAATGTGACCTTATAGCGCTGTGATTTTATTTAGAGCTCACGTGAAAGGTGGTGAATATTTACCTGTATTTGCAAGCTGCTTATTTTTACACTAAAAGGGAGCGCTGACTTTATATATCTTGGTTTTGGGTAGAAAAAAAACACTTGATGCACCTAAACATGTGTAAATGTGCCTATACGCATGTGCAAAATACAGCATTCGGTGTGTTTTAGGCTAAGTTCACACTAGCTTTGTTAGCAGGCCTTAGACAGGTGTTTGGGAAGTGTTTTTAATGCTCCTCAAACGCCTATGAAAATTCTACACATGGCAGCACACAGTGCTGTTCACACTGAAGCGTTAGCATCATGTCGCATCAAAACTGACGCCTCATGTCCAGTCAGGAGGAGTTGAAGCCTCCTGTTCAAGTCTATGGTGACACTCCTTAAAGTCTGGGAGGTGTTTGCGGGGCGTTTGCGAGGTGTTTGCAGAGCGTTAATACCATTAAACTTCATTGTAGGCATTTGTGGTGCGGTTTTAATGCTTGGCAAACGCCTATCAATTGCCTCAAAAATGCTCATAGGGCGTTTGGGGAGTGTTCTTAACACTCCTCAAACGCCTATGAAAATTCTACACATGGCAGCACAGTGCTGTTTACACTGAAGCGTTAGCGTTGTGTCGTGGCAAAATTGATGCCTCATGTCCAGTCAGGAAGAGTTGAAGCCTCCCGTTCAAGTCTATGGTGACGCTCCTCAAACACCTGGCAGATGTTTGCAGGGCATTTGCGGAGCGTTAATACCATTGAACTTCATTGTAGGTGTTTGTGGTGCAGTTTTAACGCTTGGCAAATGCCTATCAAATGCCTCAAAAGCTCATAGTGCGTTTTGGGAGCATTTGAGGAGCGTTAAAAATGCTTCCCAAACGCCTAACGCCTGTCAAATGCTATAAGGGTGTTAGAAGTTAGTCAAGTGTGAATGAGCCCTTAAGCAGTTTTTCTCCTGCCAGGAGAAAAGGCGTTCAGGGGGGCTGAGCAAACCCTTAGTGTGCATGAGGCCTTAATATTACTCTCAAAATGCCCTGTAAGCAGCATGCAGTGTTTGTAGATCACATATAAATATACTACGTGTTTTTTCCAAGTAGGTTCAGACAGGATCGAAGCATCAACAAGCGCCATTTATTATTATACAGGATTTATATAGCGCCAACAGTTTGCTCAGCGCTTTACAATATAAAGGGAGACAATACAGCAACAATACAGTTCAATACAAGAGGGTTAGGAGGGCCTGATCCTGGGAGCTTACAATCTATTTGGGTTTATAAAAATATACTCTTAGAACTTTTTTCATTAGGATACAACTTTAATAGCTTTTTTTTTCATCTTCCCGTATGATACAGTTCAGGTATATTCAGTCATTTTTCACAGCTCATCTGTTAGCTCTTAAACTGGGACAATCCAAGCTGTGAGAATAATGCCATTTGAATGAGTGACTAATAGAGATTCATAGGATGTCCTGAACAACACTGCGTCTTCTCAGCTTCACATCCTGGTGTTCACCCCTACGAGACCGCTGTAACACAGCGAGCATATTAATGGCATCTTGTTTCCTTCTGGTGGCTCCTAGAATAACAGGAAATGGAGTTATTGCAGCTGCACTGCTAATTATTTTGTATAGTATAGCGACCTGTATATAAAGCCTTTCAGAGAAAACAGGCCACCATAGCTCATCCCCCCTAAAAAAAAAATAAAAATAATGTTAGCTGCCTTGCTGCCATGTTGATTATTTTGTCTTTAATACTTTGATTGACTGACCTGGAATAAATATGCAGATTTTTTTTTACTTAACTTTTTTCTGATTTTCCCTTTTTGAATACATGTTCAGTGACTTTCAGCATATTAGCCAGGCAAATAACTTCTCCCATTCCTCTCATTAAAATCTGCTTTCATATAGTACTATGAAACCTACATTGGCTTAGTGGTTAGCACATCTGCTTTGCAGTAAATGGGTCATGGGTTCAATTCCTGACCATGGTGCCTCCTTCATGGAGTTTGCATGTTCTCCTTTTGCTTGCATGGGTTTCCTCCCACACTCCAAAGACATGCTGGTAGGTTAATTGGATCCTGTCTAAATTGGCCCTAGTATGTGTATGTAAGAATGTAAGTTAGGGACTTTAGATTGTACACCCCTTGAGGGTTAGGGACTGATGTGAATGTTCATATATATGTGTAAAGCGCTGTGTAAATTGAAAGCACTATATAAGTACCACAAATAAATACACAGAAGGAAGACTCATGCAGCTATTGTTTATATGTATAGATAAAAAGCCTACTACATTTTCATTTACATTTGGCAGAGGATTATAACAGATTAAATAAAACCTGGTAAAAAAAATGAGTTATCCACACAACCTGCTGTTTTAAAATATCTGGTGGCTCCGGTAGTCCACTTTGCCAGCAGGCCTTGACTTTGTGAACATAGGCTTGCCAATGTCTTCTTATTAATTCCAGACACCCCTCAAGTACACTGTAGGCTTTAAGATGATCCTTCACATGTCCAGAGCTTTTGTGCAGATCATCTGAACCTTTGTCCATAGAGATACTCATAAGCAAACCATCGATGATACGATTTTCTTTCTTCCATTGCAGGTGGAAGATGGGGGAATCACTTAGGCAGCGCTATTGTGTTCTGCCAGTGGGGAGCCTTCCCTGCCACCAGAATGTAATGATCACTGCTAGCAGCTATAGCCACTGGCAGTAATCACAAGCAAAAAAATCTGACAAGCTGGTTGTTCTGAAGTCCATTGATGAATTGTCTTCAGTATAACCAGCCTACCCATAGATGTATTAAATCTTGGCCAGTCCCTGCAAAACCGGCTGAGATTCATCCATCTATGGCCGGCTTAAGTCTGCCTCGGACATTTTCAAGTGGATATTACTGAAAAGTAAAGTTTCTACTGGGAGAACTTAAGTAAAGACAGTACTGTAGGAGACACTGGAGTAACTCCTACTAACTTCATCTGATTCATTTTTTCTGTGATTCCTCGCTGTCTGGTGAAGAAGAGTTTTCCACGCACAGCTGCACCAGGTTTTGCACTTTCCAGTTTTAGTAAATCAACTCATTTATTTCTGTTGATTACACTTGCGATCATGATCTATAGGTAAAGCCTCCTTTTATTATTGAGCTAATGCTTCCTACTACATTTCCTGAAAGACTACATGCTCATATAATAAAAGGCAAAATATACATTATCTACAATAATTAAAACAAAAAATACTCAGACCATGCCCATGATGTAAAAATATCCACATTATGTTTCTCAGTTTGGTTATTTGGCCAAACAAAGAAATACATTAATTATACACTCTGCCTGTGAGCTTTGGTAAATGGACATTAGTGATGGTATGATAAAATCATTCATGTAGACCAGTGATGGCGAACCCGTGGCACGCGTGCCACAGCCGGCACGCCGAGCCTTATCTGTGGGCACGCCAGGAGAATACCGTATTTTTCGCTCCATAAGATGCACTTTTTTTCCCCCAAAAAAGGGGGGAAAAATGTCAGTGCGTCTTATGGAGCGAATATAGAGCGGCCGGTCCGGTATTTCCACCGCCGCTGTGTCAGAATACCGGGCCGGCCGCTCAGCTCTGCAGCGGGACCGTACCTGTCCCTCTATCCAGCGGCGCGCTGTCTTCCCGGCTTCTGTAGTGTGCGTGACAGCCGGGTCCCAAGTGCGCATGCGCAAGAAGCAGTGCTCTTTGTGAATGGTAAGGCGGTACCTGGGACACATGACAGATCCCAGAAGCCGCCGGACCAATCACAAAGCGCAGCGCTTCTCGCGTCTGCGCACTGGGCATCCAGCTGTCCGACGAGCGCCCACACTACAGAAGCCGGGAAGACAGCGCGCGGCTGGATAAAGGAACAGGTAAGATAAAAAAAAAAAACTCTGCGGAAGTAAGAGCGGGTACCTGTCAAATTCAGGTACCCGCTCCCCCTCCCTCCCCAAAGGTCAGCAGTCATCTGTACTGTCCGCAGTCTCTGGTCATCCCTGTGCTTTCCGCAGTCTCTGGTCATCTCCTGTACTGTCCGCAGTCTCTGGTCATCTCCTGTACTATGTCCGCAGTCTCTGGTCATCCCTGTACTGTCCGCAGTCTCTGGTCATCCCCTGTACTGTCCGCAGTCTCTGGTCATCTCCTGTACTGTGTCTGCAGTCTCTGGTCATCCCCTGTACTATGTCTGCAGTCTCTGGTCATCCCTGTACTGTGTCCGCAGTCTCTGGTCATCCCTGTACTGTGTCTGCAGTCTCTGGTCATCCCTGTACTGTGTCTGCAGTCTCTGGTCATCCCTGTACTGTGTCTGCAGTCTCTGGTCATCCCTGTACTGTGTCTGCAGTCTCTGGTCAGTCCCATCCCTGTACTATGTCTGCAGTCTCTGGTCATCCCTGTACTGTGTCTGCAGTCTCTGGTCATCTCCTGTACCATGTCCGCAGTCTCTGGTCATCTCCTGTACGTGTCCGCAGTCTCTGGTCATCCCTGTACCGTGTCCGCAGTCTCTGGTCATCCCTGTACTGTGTCCGCAGTCTCTGGTCATCCCTGTACTGTGTCTGCAGTCTCTGGTCATCCCTGTACTGTGTCTGTGCAGTCTCTGGTCATCCCTGTACTGTGTCCGCAGTCAGTCTCTGGTCATCCCTGTACTGTCTGCAGTCTCTGGTCATCCCTGTACTGTTAATTAGTTTGCACTACTGTACGAGTTGTTTTTTCTAAACCAAAAGCTCGATATTCAGGTTTCATTGCAGTGTTGGCACTTTGAAAGAAATAAGTTGGTTTTGGGTTGCAGTTTGGGCACTCGGGCTCAAAAAGGTTCGCCATCACTGATGTAGACATTAGGCTAGTCATAGGGCAGAAACATCAGTGACCTAAAGGCTGCGTTCATTTACAATCAAATTAGCTTGTCGTTCCTTCCTCAGTACCTCCCTCTTCCCACATGGAAGAAAAATATCTTTTAAACATATTTTTTAAATATTCCTCCCAAATATATTGACATATATTTGAAATACTACAATGTTGACCATATTAAAATATATATATATATATATATATATATATATATATATATATATATATATATACACTGTATGTTGAAATGCGTATTTTATATATTACAAAATATATGAAAAATATTTTTAAAAATATATATTTTTTAAATATATTCTTCAGATTTTGTTTAACACATAAAGTAATTTTAACATATGTTTTTACATATATTTGCAAATGCATTCCAAAAATGAAGATTAAATGTCTTTTTAAAGACATACAGTATATTTGAAAATGTATTTTTAAAAATATTTTTCATTACGGACAAAATTGTAATATTTCAAATATAAGTCAATGTATTTGGGAAAAATATTTTTAAAATATGTTTTTCTTCCATGTGGGTTTCCTCTTCTGTTTATGTGTATTAATACTGGCCTGCTTTCCCCATGGAAAGTCCAGCTGTTCTTCTGATATGTCAATCAAGTTTGAAGGTTTGCACCAAAGTGAAAGAATAAGCCTTACTTTAGTAAGGACACTTACTTAATATGAGATGTGCATTTTATTAGGAGAAAGTTTTAGAGTTATCTGCTCTGATATTGCCCTAATTACTGTGTATTGATCTTGTTAGTTCATAATCAGTCTTGATTAATTGTCACCTTCCTAGACCTTGGGCATGTCATTGACAGTGGTTTTTCTAGTGATTTTGTATTTCAGAACTATCTGACTTGTTCTTTCATACCCTGCTTATGCATAAGGGTCCTTTCACACGGGCGTTTTGTTTTTTTCATCAGTTCATTCACGCTTTTTCAAAGAAAAAACAGATCAGTTTACATCAGTTTTTTTCATCAGTTTCTCATCAGTTTTTACATCAGTCTTTTACATCCTTTACTACTGCAAAAACAGATGCAAAAACGGACCATATGTCCATTTACATCTGTTTTTTCTTCTGTTCCGTTTATTTTTACGTTAGAAAAATAGGGTTTTTGTCTGTTCATAAAAATGGATGTTTATGGATGCGGATATTACTGGATGTAAACAGATGATCATCCGTTTACATCCGCTATTCCATAGAAATACACGGGTGTCCGTTTTTCATCTTTAAACGGACAGATGAACAACGGACAGATGAACAACGGACATACGGATTGCCCGTGTGAAAGGACCCTTACTATTTAATTTTCTTGTTGGACGTCTCCAGGCGCCACAGGAAAAAACATCTTAAAGCAGTATCAAACCCAAAAAGAAAAATATATTCATTTGCAGCTTACCAATTCTTAGATGTGGTGGCTGCATTCTTTTTAAGGCTTTTTTCCCCTTTCTTTTTCACCTCGCCAGTAAGTCTGTTTTTTTTTCAACTTCCTTTAACAGACCAAGCTGATCAGCAAAAGTAGCACTTAGACAGTTAAGGCAAACCATTTAACACTGGCAAGGGTTCTTACAGTGGTCAGCTTTTAGTCATCTATGTAAAACCTTTATCTGTTTGCTGTAGTTGCTTAAAATGTGTTAGCTGGAGTTCAGCTTCAATTTGTTAGTCAAATTAATCTAATTTGGATGGATCGGTACCAGAAATATTTTGATCTGAGTGTGGCCCTCCCCGATCGGCAAAATTGAAGCAGTAGATTGACTTCTCTTGAATGCCCATGCTGGAAAACTTCCATTTGACCAGCGTCTCCAGGCGCTGATCAGTGTATTCTGACAGCGAAGAGTCCTGCTGTCAGTTTACAATGGCACATCGGCGAGGATTCCTCCATCCACCTCCATGTATACCCAGCTTTATCTTCTGGTCTAACACTACCCTCTCCCCAGACTGACAATGCTGCTGTCCAAATGTGTCTGCTTCACTACTTCATCCAGAATGTACACCCCCTAAGACAGGAAGTCTAGAAAAAGAAAATGAATGCGGCCACCACATCTAAAGATTGGTAAGCTGCAATATATTACATTTTTGTTTTTCAATTGATTACTGCTTTAAAGCTCACACACACACATACCACACAATATAAAATCTGATTGTACAATCTTTTGTTGATCTACTACCAATTATGTAATGTTAGGGCCTGCATTTTGGATACAAACTGATGCACTTATCACTTTTATATTTCATAGATATGGTATATTAGGTGGAGATTGTAAAATTGGATTGAACCTGTACCACTCCCTTTCTAAATTTATCAATAACCTTTCTTTTCAACCCCTGACATAATTAGGCATGAAACTTAAAGCCCAACCTCAGGGTATAAAAATCTTCCCCTGCGCTGCAGAAGTTAAATGCTTATTCAAGTTTAGGGAATGGGAAATGCAGTTTTACTTACCTAATCCTTCGCTCCCTGGCAGCTGGTGCTATGTTATAGAGGCAGACTGCTTCTCGGCATCCTCATGTCCAAAGCTGGGCTGGTACCTGCATGAGTCCTGAAGGTGTCAAAGGCTCTGGGAATGTCATGGCAAAAGAGTTTGTTGGAATTTGTCTTAAGCAGGCCATACATGGGTTGAATTCTGAATGAGTTTTCGATCAAAAATTGAAATCCAATGGTGCCACCAATGATTTGAAAATTGGTAATTTTTAACAAATTTTCCAGCATGCCCAATAAAAGAAATGGGGAGGAACCATGCAAATTGACCAGTGCCATTGCCCCACTAACAGAGCGAAAATCAGCTGATTATTCTTAGGTCCGATTTTCGAACGAAAATATTTGCAGTCACAGAGACCATCCCCATACCCGCAATTTCACCTTTTTGTAGGTTAAAAGAAATTGGATGTTTTTCATCCAGTTTTATACATTTCATACTTTGAAAGTACATCAGAATCATTATGCTTGTAAAGCAGGTGCTAATCAGATTATAAGAAGCTCAAGTGATCACCTGTCACATGGGTCCGGGATTCAAGAAAATTTCCTTGTTTTAACCAAAAGTTGAACTCTTATTTGAGCCTTTCAGTGTTTCATATTTATACATTATTTTTAATGTACTCTTCCTCTCAGGAAAATCATCAATTGAAAATACCATTACTATTTTTTTTTTTAGTTTATCTGTACATGGAATTTGCGTTTTTCCACATGTAGGGTTCAGATTTGTTATGTTTGCTTTCCTCTTGTATGTGAAGATCATGGTGAAATCTCGATTAAGTTTTATCTCTGAAAATTCCCATTGGGATCATTTTCTTACATATCAGATTGTCTATTCATCTTTATTGCTGACTAGGTGAGACTTCCATATTACATATACTAGTCTCTAGAGTCTGATACTCCTCGAGTTTCTCTAAGCTGGATTCCTGGGCATGTACTGATGACCTGCATATATTTCAAGGTCCTGTACTCTTCAATGTCACTGTTTATCTGACGGATTCTGCTCTGATTTGATCAGGCCTTCTACATAGCGATTTACAATAAATGTCAGTTAAATAAATACAATAAGGAAACTACAGCCCAATGCAAGTCATTTAGTATATGTAGATTGTAGGTCTCGCGGGGGCTTCTCCATCTAATTGTTTGTATGATTTATTTATTAAGCACCAACATTTCCTCAGCCAAGAGTTATAAATATCTGCCTAGCTAATGTACATGGGTGGATGAATGCCAGGTAGCTGATGCTGAATGCCAAAAGAAATAGCAGTATCTGTGGTTAGTATTCCACATCTGACAAAAATGATGGTAACACGGTGAGCTTATTAGCCTGTCCTTGGATGTGGTAATCAATGTTCCTTTTAAAACAAGCTTTTGGGTTTTACACTTTGATAGTTTCCTTTAGAATATTATTTTCTATATTTTAACACCAGATTACTAGATTATGTGGCATAGAGTGGACAGTTGTGGGTTTATAGAGCTTATAAAACAATTTTGAAATGGTATGACCTTTGTTGATGAAAAGTTGGGCTTAGGTTTCAGTGGGTGCACAAAACCAAGCACCTAAGTGAAACAAAAAAGCGCATATGAACACATACAAAAAGTGCACTAGGGTTTGTCGTTGGTCCCCTTCCGAAGTGGAGGGACTCCTCCCATGCCCCCTTGGGGTGCAAGACTCCTAATGGGGGCAAGTCATACTCAGGTGCACCTAGCCAAAAGGCCCAGTGGACCCCACTCCACATGTTCAGCTGAAGCCAACCAACAAGTATTAGGTGTGCGCTCTCCTGAAAAAAGAGTCTCCCCAAGGCTGGGGTGGAAGGAACCTAGTGGCCATACAACCTTCCATCTACTTCAGGGTAGGCCTGAAGACCTTCACCATACCACCTGTGAGTAAAGTGCAATGTCAGATGTGAGTGAATAAATTAAAAATTTAAATTTAAGAGAGTGCTAATATTGTATGCAATTACTTGCCCCAGTCTTGGTCAAAAGGCTTAGCCCATGAGATGATTTGCAGATAAAAAGATCAAGAGATATCGTGGCCTAGAGTTCATTCTCACAGGGGGTCCTAAACTCATAGTGATACTAAGAGCACCCCTGGGTCACCTATCCCAGAACTTGGCACCACAGGTTCTCTGCCTCCTCAACCCCTGGCCAGAGATAACAGCACTGCTCAAAACCAGGAGGCACTGGGCCCCTTGGAATCCTCCACACCAGGGAATTACTGACTCCTACTTTACCCCATTTGCTTTTCAGTT